CCCCTCGCTCCGCTCGGCAAGGTAATTCGTCCGGGCGTCGGCGGCGTCAAGTTGATGGAAGTCTGGTCGGTAATGCCACCCCGGCCCCGGCCCCGGCCCCGGCCCGAGATTGTCCCGACGGGACACTCGACGCGTCGCGACGCTCCCGGATCGACGAGGAAGATGACGAGGCTGGAATGAATTATGAACGGGGTGAATCGGGCCGCGTCTCTGCTTCTCAAGGGCGGCGCGTGTGACGAACAACGCAGAGAAGAGATCCAAGTGCTGTTGTTGTTTCACGTTTCACGCGAGGATCTTTCTCGCCCTATGAACGAGATATTCGGATAGATGATGGCGGTGTTTAGTCTCATTCGCGGGAGAGCGCGCTGAAGTGGAGCTGAAACTTTGTGCCGGGTGCTTCGGTCGAGCAGGCGGCGAGCTCCCCGCTCAGATTTCTGTTTTGGCGCCCCCCGAACCAAAGACAAATAATTGATCTTGTTGCCCCAACGACGCGCCTCGCGCGCGAAAATTGGACTGCTAATGGGAGGCGCTCTCCCCCTCCTCCCCTCAATGAGTGTCCATGCAGCACACCCAACTAATTTCGCAGGCAATACCAGCCAGGCGTGGTGTGGCGGGGCGGGCTGGGGCGGGGCGGGGAGATGTGGGGCGGGGCTGCCTTCGGGTCCCCCACGATGACTGCAATGGCCACACCTGCCTGCATGGCCACCCAATTGACCCCGCGATAACTAATCGCGCAAAGCGCTTTACACGCCCCTCCCCTCTGTGCCCCCCCCCTACACCCTCTCAACATCCCTCAAACCCATTTCCGACCACCCACCAACTACTGCCCTTTATTGCCTGAAATCGCTTACTGGACGCGCGCCAGGCAACATATTGCCCCGGCTCGCCCCGTCGGGTGTGGTGAGGGAGGTCGTGTTTGTTCTCCAGGCCGACACTTTTGTTCGTCCGTTCGTTGCGAAACCAGAGCAAGCAAGTGAAGTAATTTCCATAGGATCAAATGACTTCCGCCCCGGGGAGAAAAGGGGTAGTTTGGGAAGGGAGTAGGGGGGGGGGGTCTGTGTGTGGTGCGGAGGAGCAGGGAGAGTCATCGAATTAAGTGGCGAGGCGGGGCGGCGGCAATCTGCTCTAATGGAGTCTAATCGTAGTTTTATTATGCCGGAGAGCTCCGAGAGATAGGGGTCCGGGTCCTCCTCGGCGCGGCAGCAGCGGAAGCAGCGGCAGCGGCGGCAGCAAGTGAGGGTCTTACACCGTCGCGCGGGGGGATTACCACCCCGGCTGCAAGCATTAACCCGCGGGTCATCATTTCCAGCGGCGCTGGGCACGCGAGTCCGCGGGTGGGGCGGGG